CAAAATTTTCAATATATAATAAAAGGGATAAATGAGTGTATACACATGTGTGTATATACATTTTAATGTATATATATGTGTATAATGTATATATGTGTGTGTGTGTGTGTGTGTGTGTATGTGTGTGTATCTTACACTTGCTGTTAATTAGTCTCGAGAAGAAGACACAAATACTATTGATTTATTACCTTAATTTTGGATTGAGAGATAAACAGTCTCCATGCAAATAGCAGTAAACTTTTAAACAAACAAGGTCATTTTAAAACTAATGGGTAACATGGACACAGTATAGTGGTTCCCTGCTTCTTTGCACACAAGAACACAGTCCTGGGCAATGAGCTTGAGAGATGTAACGGAGATGAGTCTGGTTGCTGGTATGAGCTTCCACTGCTCTAAAAATGTCTTTGCCAAGTTCTGTCTCTGTTTCAGGGTTGAGCTGTTTAAATGGCTGTTGCTTCATTAATATCTAAATATACTAACATGATATGAAACATTAGCAGGGAAACAAACACTGTGATTAGGATTTCATATGTTAATTATTCCATTGAATAACAACACAACACTTTTATTCACTGGCAAATCACAAATACACACTGATGTTTACAAGATTTTTTTTTCAGTTAAAGTGAAAGGAGGATGATACATTTTAGAATACAAAGAGAAAAAAAGAGATGAATCTTATTGACTGATATATGGCAAATATATTGAACTCCGGGTCTCATGCATGCTAGTTAAGCACTCTACCACTGAACTACATCCCCAGCACTTTTTATTTTCATTTTTAAATTTTGGGACAGGATCTCACTAAGTTGTCCAAGCTGGTATCACACTTGGGACCTTCTTGCTTCAGCCTTCTGAGATAGCTGAGATTATAGATGTGTGCCACCTCATCCAGGAAAGCTAAAGCATTACAATTGTAAAACTGTAGATAATCCACCATGCTTCCTTGCTTGGCTTTGGAATGCACTGTGAAACTTGGTGAAATCAGAATTTATAAACCATTTTGATATGGTGAGACTGCATTTTTTTAAAGGTACAATGATTGGGTTGAAGATAAGTCTGTGGGGTGGTGATAGAAAACAACTGATTGGCACTTTGTTGTTGGAAAAACAAACCAAACAAATAATTTTAAGAAACAAGCAAGTAAGAGGTCTTATGAAAATCAAATGGAGATTAATAGAATAGAGGGAAAGGACTAGGGGAGGGAGGAGGGGCAGAAAGGGGGAAATACTGGGGAATGAAATTGGCCAAAATATATCGTTAGGTTGTGTGTATGTATGACTATGTAATAACAAATCCCACTGTTATATACAACTATAATGCACCAATTCAAAAATATGGGAAAAAAGAAATAAGCAACTAAACAATTCCTTCTCCTCAGAAAACTTGGGATCAACCAAGTATGGATGGTTCAATCTCAAACCAGGTACCATTTGTACAGTCTTTGCTTCAGTATGAGTCAGGAAGAAATGAGGATACATATATATGATCACCACAGTTGTATAGTAATAACAATGGATTCAGAAATTCTATTTATGCAGCACTGTGGTGTGCTGAGGACAACATGCTGGAAAGACTGTCAACACTTCTAAGACCATGTAGCAATGCTGAGAGGCTACATTTTCTTGATTATATCCTGGGACAGTGGTGCCTTTTTTTGGGGGGGGGTACCAGGAATGGAACTCAGGGGCACTTGACCACTGAGCCACACCCCCAGTCCTATTTTTGTATTTTATTTAGAGACAGGGTCTCACTGAGTTGCTTAGCGCCCTGCCACTGGCTTTGAACCCTTGCTCATCCTTCCTCAGCCTCCCTACCTGCTGGGATTACAGGCAGGGGTGCCTTTTTGCCTCATTTGAGATGAGTTTCTATGAAAAGAGTTCAAGGGTCACTGGTCCAAAGAACAGAGATAAAAAGGTGCAGGTGTTTCTCCATAATAAACCACAGTGCTTGGAGTTTCTAAACAACTCCCTCCAAACCACCAGTTCAATATTACTTATTCATTCCAATCATGTTCACATGCTGAACATGGGCTCTCCCAGTGGCAGGGAAGGCAGAAGTTTTGATTATTTCCATATCATTAAAACAAAATGAGACATCCACACAGAAACAGGTAGGTCACATGAGACCTAGAACTCTGGTCTGGTCTTTGGGTTCTGAGCAAAGCTTCTTTTGTAAAAGAGAGTATGTTCCAAAAATATTTGGGTTTTAGCCAAATGGCCACACAGATTATGTTTATTACCAGTGGCGACCTTCACTCTTTTTTTTTCTTTTTTTGGTGCTCTTTCTTTTCTTTTTTTCTTTTTTCAGCCCCTGAAATCCTTTACACTGAAGTGAAAGGAACTGAATGTATTCCTCATCTCAGGATTGACCATCTTCACCCAATAGAGTGATGAGATTCCAACCCCAACAGTAAGACTTTTTTTAGTTCTCTCCTTCGACATTACACCATTGTAGAAGGGCCATAAGGCTGGCTGGACTGCAAGAAAAATTCTTCTTTGGCAGCCACAATCCTGGAGAACATATTAGGAGATAGTAGGAGCTAAGTTGAGGCTATACACTCCATACTGATGGGCTTATCCTTACATTTTAATTATGTCTAAATGCCTTATTCTATAGCTTTGAGCATTCCTGTTCAGATAAGATACAGAATGAGGGATCATGGAGGGGGAGTCCAGATACCATTGGTGGTCTCTTCCCAGCCATCTGTATGTCTAGATGTAGTTTGTCGGCTCTGATAACTTCTGCCATTTTGATTTTTTAAATGTCTTTGTACACAGTAGGTAGGACAATCCTGTTGTCTCTGTCTAATCTCATTGGTGTGGCTTGCTCGCAGTAGGTATTCATTCCATGTCAGTTGCTGCTACTTGTGTCTGCTCTTACGGTTGTGACGGTGTACTCAGCAGGCTAATGATATCAGCAGATATCAGTAAATGTCTGGGCTGTGGTTTGTGTCCAGCCTCATTATTTGTTATGACTTCAAAGCATCTAGCTCTGTGAAGACAGGAGGGCATGAATATGATTGTTCTTTTCCATGCAGGCTGTGAACTTGATTGATGATGCTCTGAGTACTGGATTTGGGTTTTCTGTTGTGTAACACTACCACGTCACTTCAGCCTGATACAATCCACCTCTTCAGTGGCAGGCACCCCAGTGGTTTTGAAGTCAAGTTCAGCGCTGGACTTGCTCCCATGGTGAGAGGGTTGCCAGTGGAGTAGCATCATCTTCTTGAAGTACTTCATGGTGTTGTTCTTGACCGTCACGAAGCACACAGTGTTAATCATGCTGTTGCTCATGGCGATGCACTCGACGACGTAGAAGGCGGTGAGGTAGTGCTTCTCTTTCACAAACACAGTGGGGAAGAAGTCTCGCACAATGGTGAAGCCATAGAAGGGTGCCCAGCACAGCACGTAGGCTGTAAGGATGCACATGAGCACCAGGACTGTCTTCCGGCGGCAGCGCAGTCGCTTACGGATCTGCTCTGTCTGGAACCCAGGGACGGCCTTGAACCAGAGCTCCTGGGAGATCCTGGCATAGCACAGGGTCATGGTGACCACAGGCCCTACGAACTCGAGGCCAAAGATAAACAGAAAGTAGGACCTATAATAGAACTGCTGATCTACTGGCCAGATCTGGCCACAGAATATCTTTTCCTGGTTTTTGACAATAAAGAGGACGGTTTCGGTTGCAAAGTAGGCTGATGGGATGGCAATGAGGATGGAAACCAACCAGACCAAAGCAATCAGGAAGGAGGCGGTTTGATAATTCATTCGTGGTTTCAAGGGGTGAACGATGGCAAGATATCTGGTGAGGAAAGACAGCAAACAATCATAATATGTTACAGCTTGGAAAATGATAGTTTTTTCACTAATTCTGAACACAGTGAATTCCCATGTACTCATTACCCAAATTTAACCAGCTTCATCTCATGTCAGCAACATCATTTTGCACTTGGAATAGTGGCGTGGTTTAGTGGAAACAGCACAGGTTTCAGGTCAAATATGTTGAATAAATTCTGGCTTTCCAGACCCCAATTACCCAATCTCTCTGAGTTTCATTTCCTCAAATGCAACCTGGAATCAAATGATACCTGCTTTGCTGGTAGCTGTGAAGGTTAAATATGATAATTTGTAGCCTGTATTGTAGGTGTTCAATAAATACATGTGGTCTATTATTATTAATGCTCCTATTATTGTACCTTGGGTTCCAAGCCATTCTGCCCAAGAATACAATGCTCTCAAAGCTCTTCATTCTAAATAACTCATGGTTTAGAGACGAAGAAGCGCTCGGCACCTCCGAGAGAGGTCAGCACCTTTCTCAGGTAGTGGACAAGAACTTTTTCCCTCTCCCTCCGCCCCCACTATCAGGTATTACTCTGCATTACAGAAACAGGAGAGTAGGGGTGGGTTTGTGGTGAAACTAAGAACCCTGATGAGAAGTAAATGTTTTGCTCAAGCTAGAATTATGCAAACACTGGAATTTAGGCCCCTGGTACAAAAGCTTTTACACTCACCTCCCTGGGTCACCTCATGTTCAAATGAGAAGGTATATGAAGCTACCATAATACCATAAGTCTTGATCCCTGCTCTTTCTGATGAACCACATTTCCCAGGAAAGAAGCCAGAGCTTTTTGTATAAAGTGAGCTCAGCTGTGCAGATTGAATATCTTCTCTCCAGAAAGAGATAATGAATAACAGCCTATTTAGATATTTGGGTGCCCTGGAATCACTTCTGTGCAGGATTGAGTGGTAGAAGACAATGGAGAAAGATAAACGTCAGAAGGGTCAGAAAAGAAAGAAATTAGCCATGGAAATAAACATGTGCCCCATACCTGAAGATTGAGGCAGGTGGGGTTAAGAGCAGGAAGCTCCCAGTAGAAAACTGGATCCAAACCTTTTCCTTTGTAAACCAGACCCTTTGACCACCTTTCCAAGTGTCTGATTTGACTATGGAGGCTTCCTTCCATGTTACTGCTTCCTGTCCCTGACAGTATTTCTGCTACAAGTTTGCTTCACCTTCTCTTGCCTGCTCCTTGTTCATTGTTGGCTCTAACCCATTGAGTTTCACTAGCGGAACCCATGAGAGCATGGCTACCTCCAAGTTTGTGGCTTTCTGAATATCCAGGATGAAGCTGGATCCATCACAACCACTGACTGCACCCCACCTGGATGTATTAATATGCATGGCTGTTGCTGGAACTCTCCGCATAGCATTTGATCTGGCTTTGCCATGTGAACCTGTATGACTGTCCCAAGTGGACAAGCCTCAAGGGACTGAAGAGAGGGGCAAATGGGATGGCTCACCCTCACCTGGAGCAGGGTCATCTCACAATCACTGTCTCTTTGTAATGACTGGGAAAGAATTAGTTTTTTGTTGCTGCTATAACAAATGCCCACAGATATAGTGGCTTGAAGTGACACAATTGATTATCTTACAGTTTTTAGAGGTCAGAAGACTGGTGTGTGTGTGTGTGTGTGTGTGTGTGTGTGTGTGTGTACGTGTGTGTGTGTTTCCTTTTCCAGGGCTGCCTAGAGTTTTTGACCTATGACCCCTTCCCTGTTCAAAGCCAGCAATGGCAAGCTGAGTTTGTCTCATTTTGTATTACTCTGACATTAACTCTCTGCCTCCTTCCACAATTAAGAACCTTTGTGATTACATTGGCCCCACCTAGATTATCTAGTAAAATTCCCCTATTTTAAGATCAGCTGATTAGCAACCTTAATCCCATCTGCCACTTTAATTCCCTTTTGGCATGTAATGTAATATGCTCACGGTTCTGAGGAATAGGATATAGTTATCTTTTGGCGGGGTGGGGGGGGGTGGGGGGGGCGGGGGAGGAATTATTCTGCCTACCACACTGAATCCAAAGTCCTTAGGAAAAGCAAGACAAATTCAGAACTTAATAGCTTTCTGGTTCTATCATGGACAGTATCTCAATAACCAATGCCAAATGAAATTTCCCCACATTCCTGCTTATTCTGTTGTTGTCTTTTAAATTCAAGTTTTTTTTATCATTTGTAACACTTTCTTCATTCTATGGGATGTTTCAAAATTTGAATAGAAAAGAAAGGAACACTACTAGCCTGCAGGTTATTCAGAAGGCCTGGATCCAAGCTGTGAACTTGGATAAATCATTTATACTCCTGAGAACTAGTTTCAGCATCTATGAAATGGGGATCATAATAACTTTATTGACAATCTCTCAGGATTTTTTTTTTAGGTTTCAAGAAAGTGAACATACATAATGCATGTTGGAAGCTATAGTACTTTACTTACATTGATCATTTCCCACAGTTCACTCATTGGCAAGAGACATCTGCAAGGTGTTTGTTGCCATCTATCTGCTTGGAAGTGTTTCTTAAGATCAGTGGTTTTCTTCAAGTCTCTGTGTCTTGAAATAGCACCTCTTCTGCATAGACCTGGCTATTCTCTAGCTGCAGCATATACAAATGGCACCAGGTGGCCCTTATGATATTTCTACATAGTAGAACAGGCATATTTATCCTAGAGGCAAATGAAAGTACCAACAGAGAGATGTGTACTTCTCCCAGGGTCTGTAGGTCTCTCTAATTCTGGGGTTGTGCATGAAGTATCCCCCAAATTCCCAGATACAAATCCTGTTTTCCAAAATCAGTATCATCAGGGCAAAGATGAGAGCTTTCCATTCATCTTTCTTATCATTTACCTTATTTTTCAATTGGTTTAGAACCTGATGGGCCAGAGGGGTGCTATTTATTAAGCTTTTGTATTTTGAGGCTTGAATTTCCACATGCTGCCTTTATATCTTTGAGCCTTGTGGGACCCCAAAGGCCTAGCTATGAGTTCCCCTGTTTTTGCCAGATGTACCCCAACTGCTCCCCTTGCACACACCCAGTGGAAAAGCCTCCCTGTCGGCCTGTTTCCTCTATCAGGAAGTGTAAGTATAAACTCACTGGGGAATGAGATTCACCAAATTATGTTATGTGCATGTACAAATAGGCCACAGTGAATCTCACTATTATGTCTAATTATAATGCAAATAAAAAGAGTAATCCTTTCAGAGAACTTTTCCTTAAAAAAAAACCTAGCATTTATGTATCAGAATCTCTCGATTATTCTTTTATGTCTCATAAATGCTAGTTCTTGTGTGGAAGAAAAGCTCCCTGAGTCAAGGACTGTGTCTTTTCTACATCGTGTTTCCATATCCATAGTCTGGGCATACAGCAGGGCCCAGCAACTCACTGTGCACCTACCAGTTGGAGCAGATACAGTCAGTGCCCCATTCATATCCCTCTGCTGTTATCATTTCAGTGCATACCTGTCCACTTGTACCTGCCAATACACCTGCATTTCTTTTTCTAAAGGCTTTCTCAGGCTTCCAGATTCCTCTTGGCTACCTTAATAGCATCACCAGAGCAGTCCTCAGCAAGGTCTTATGAGTAATGGTGTACAAATACCTCAGCTCCCTCCCACTGCCCACTCCTGGGAGATGTCTGAGTTGTGATCTACTGGCTCTAAGGGTTCCTCAACAGGGGTAAGCTCTAGTTACCCATAGTGGAAACTTTTTAACAATGTATCCTGTACTGACTGTTTCCCTTCCCTATTTCCCTTTCCACCTTCCTATAGGTTCTTCCTGTGCTACATGCACTAGTATCCTTATCTCAGAGTGTTTGGAAAACAACCCAAATTAAGATATAGGTATAAAGCTCCGTGGAGACAGAAATATTGCAGACATAGTTATTGTGCTTAAAATACATTATCTTTTGGAAAAGATAATGTATATCTGTATCTTCAAACACAGCCTGAGTTTGGAAAGGCAGATTGGCATCAGATCATAAATGCTCCATTATGCTAGATTCAGGATCTGGCGTGTATCCTAAAGACACTGGAATTTCTAGAGGTTTTATTAGCAATGAAATGTCTTAGGAAGATCCCTCAATAGTGATATTCTGGTGCCTCATATGGATGAGTATGGATTTCAGGGCAGAGCCAAGAGCCCCTGGGGGCAAAAGGCAAGTCAGAAGAGCATCATCATGGACCAGTCATAACTTGATAAGGAATGAGGGTAGAGGGAGAATTGCCAGGAATTGGTGTAGGCCTGAACACAAAGGGTGGAGTGGGTAGGAATTGAGGGGGGAGAAAGGTAAAGGGTGATGGTAACTTTCCTGATTGGGGACCAGAAAAGTGATGACACTGCTGATGGAGCTGGCGGGCTATCTGGCCAAGAGTTGGTTTGGGATGAAAAAGAACGTCTCCCTTGTCTGTAGTAACAGGGTGATCATGTCCCAAGAAACTCCAATGTTACAAATAGCATATTACAGTGACACAGCCGCATCAATATTTATAGCAACTCAACTCACAATAGCTAACCTATGGAACCAACCTAGGTACCCTTCAATAGATGAATGGATAAAGAAAATGTGATATATATGATGGAATATCACTCAGCCTTAAAAAGAATAAAATTATGGCATTTGTTGGTAAATGGATGGAGTTGGAGAATATAATGCTAAGCAAAATAAGTCAATCCCAAAGAACCAAAGGCTGAATGTTTTCTCTGCTATGCAGATACTAATTCACAATAAGGCAGGGGTGGCTAGGGAAGAATAGAGTTACTTTAGATTAGATAGAGGGCAGTGAAAGGAGAGGAGGGGGTATGAGGGTAGGAAGGATAGTAGAATGAAACAGACATCATTACCTTATGTACATATATGACTACATGACCAATGTGATTCTACAACATGTACAATCAGAAAAATGAGAAATTATATCCCACTTATGAATGATATATCAAAGTGCAAAATATTCTGCAGTCATGTATAACTAATCAGAACAAATAAAAAATTTAAAAAACAGACAAACAAAATCAACATCATGAAGACAAGGTTATAATGGGACAAGGGATGAGAACAGTGATCACTATCATTTAGTAAGCATAAAAATCACTTAAGATAGTGAATAAAAATTCAGATTCCTGGAACCCAGTGTGAGGGATTCCCATCTAGGAGACTGGAGTGGGACCCAGGAATCTGACTCTGTAACATTGCATCAGATGCTACCTTCTGCCATTTTCCCTGGGGAGTTTTGTGCAGTTGGTTGGTAAGTGCCCACTCTACAAAGGCTGGTTTCAGGCCCGGAGAACCTCAGAGTTGTAATAAAATTGTTTTTCCTTCAGATATTCTATAAAAGGAAGATGCATCTTGCACCTGTATGTGTGTTTTATTACACCATAAATGAAGAATAACAAACTGGTTGATTACAAAGGACAGCAAACCTATAAACAGCACTGAGAACATGGGAAAAATTGAAGAGTTGAAAGAAGACAAAAGGGAAAAAAGATGATTCAGCACCTTTATCAAAATGAGTCTCAGCATAGCTCAGAAGATGGATAGTAAGCAAGAAGACAAGACATCAACTATCCCTCTTAAACAGAGCCACTGGTGATCTGATACTGGGCTGCAACTGTTCACATACACTGTACATGTATAAGATTTGTCAGTAGATGTGATAAATTTTACCTTATACATTTACAATAGAGCAAGGACTTCTGGAACATCTCATGCAAATGCATGCAAATGAGCACACATGGATATATGCAAAAGAACAAAAGCAAGCATGTCTTTCTTTTCTGCAAACAAATCCTGCTATCTCATTTTAAAATCAGCTCTGCAACAAAATCACTAAAACAAGTGATGATTCTTTTCTTAGGAAGTTAAAGCCTAGGCAGAATTAAATTATGATGATAACAATGAGATCACTGGTTGCTTAAGGTTGGGGGAGTTGACTGGTTAGGGCACGGGCATTTTCTAGGTGATGGAAATGTTCAATCTGGCTACAGGAAAAACTTGGTGCATATTGTCTTGACTGCAAACTTCCTTAGTTAACCCTCCCTCGGCTTCTAAGTAACAGCTGTCTGAATTTTCTGCTTTTGACTTTGTGTTTGATGCCATAGGCTGTCATTAATGTGATATGCTTGCATCTAAAGCAGATTCAGAGAGAGCATGGTCAGAACTGGGGGACTTAGGAGCCTCATATTTGCTCACATTTGGGGGAACAGAACACTGCTAAAGAAACAAAAGCTCCTCTTGCCCCTCAAAAGATCAATGAACATTCAGATCTGGAGCAGTGCCAAGCCTGTCTAATTTGAAGTGAGAAAAATGGCAGCCTAGCTGGCTTCTGCCTTACACCCCTGCCAAGGGCCTCACCTGTCAATAGCGATGGCCAGCAGGGCATTGGTGGAGACGTAGAGGGAGACAGTACGCAGGTAGTTGACAGAAGCACACAGCACATGGCCATGTTCCCAGGAGAGCTGGCGTACCACATAATAGTCCATCTCGAAGGGGCAACAGACAATGGCCACCAGGAAGTCGGAGATGGCTAGGTTAGCAATGAGCAGGTTGGTGAGGTTGCGCAGCTTCTTGTAGCGGGCAAGGGCAGCAATGAAGACAAAGTTGCCAATGCCGCAGACTAGCATGATGCCTGCCAGTGCCACTCCAATGACGATCTTGGCTGCAAAGAAGGTCCGGGTCTTGGTCATGTCCTCATCTTCATCCAGAGGGAGGTCATAATCACCATAACTGAAGTTGAAGTGGAGGGAGGAGGCATGGTCTTGGGGTGGACTAAAGTTGGAAGCAAAACTAGTGTTTCTGTTCTGCACTGCCATGGTGATGCCTGCAGATGGAGCAGTATGAGGGAAGTGTAGGGAATACAGCACTCTGAGCTGGGGGGTCCAGATCTTGTGCTGTCCCAGACGATGTGATGGAGCCTAGTACCCTGCTCACATCCTTGGCCAGAGGTGATACACCATCTTGTTTCTGGAAGGAGACACAACCAGTGGATCACAGGAGAATGAAGAATATCTGGTAGCATTCCTCCAGAGTTCCCCAGGTACACACCCACCAAACCCACTGCCTACCTGTAGACAGAACTACTCAGGGTGCAGGGGAGAGAAGACATGAGATCTGGAAGCTGGGATGCCCTCTACTACCTCTGCAGCTATCAGAAAGGACTGAGTGCAAGGTGGATTGGACTTGCCAGAGACACCCAAGAAAAATGTGCACTTTTGTCCTTTTCCCAGGGGTCAGTGCTGGTTTGATGTCTAATTTATCCACCCACCCCTTCATCAGCTTCCACAGGTTTTCTGGAAGTTTCTCAAGGCAATTGCCCAGGCTTGTATGTTATCCACAATGTTGCACATCTATCGGCCAGGAATAGGGTCTTTCTTCCAAAGCAGGGCACAGAGCCCTCGCTCGGGTTTAGCCAAACCAGGGACTTGGAAATCACCAAAACCATTTTCATATGGATAGGCTGAGTCATCCTGGACCAGTGATTCATGCTCTCAGAGCCCTAACTTTCCTGTTAAACAAACTCCTGCTATCCAGTCCAGATCCTGCATAGGCAGGGTGTACGGTTGGGGAGCTGGATAGGAATTTGTTGAATGAATGAATGAATGAGGATCCCCACCTAGATGCTGTAGGTGGGGAAGAGGAAATTCCCCTGATCCTTGGGAACCAGCTCTAGAAGGAATTCTCTGTCTCCCCACCTTGGTCCCACTACTTTGGATCTGCTCCCTCCTGCCTTCACCAGGTTTCCAGGTCCCCACCCTAGAGTCACCCTGAGTAGAAGGCACCACACCCTGTCCTGAAGGTCTTTGTCCTTTGAAAAGGATGACTGCCCCAACACTTAACTGAAAATAGCCCCCAAGGGTGAAGGTGGGGGGGGGTAGAAGGTCATCTAAGACTCCAGAGGGCTCAAGGTGAACTGTCTGCCCTTCACTGGAAAAAGTCCAATGAGGGAGCCTCTGAGAGGAAATAAAATCTCTGAAGCATCAGCCCTCAGGAGATAGGGGAGCACAGGGCACAAGGAATTGCTGAGTGTCTGGGAAAAGAACCAGGACCCTAGTGTCTGCAGAAAGGGAGCTGTCTTACTAGAGGTGAACCGCTTTCCTCCCAGACCTCTCGGCACACCTGGAAACCACTCCAAGTGTGGGGGCCAATGGATGCTGGTAGCAAGAAGCGACAAAATGGGTCAGGGAAATTTGTCAGCTCCTGGGAAGGCGGGACGGGAGCAAGGGTCAGGAACTGCCACTCTGGCAAGGACAAGAGTCGTAGTTGTGGCAGGAATACCGTAACCTATGGAGCTCCCGCCTGCTGCGAGACTGAGGTGGAGAAACGCCCGACAGGTGAGGTTCAACTCACAGAGGCGTCTGCAGCCGGGGTGTCCTCCCTGGGTTTGCCTTTCACATGGAATTCCAATCCCTGAAGACTCCGTTCAGCTGCGGGCAGAGAAGCAGGAGTGCTGCCGAGTTTTACGCTCCAGCCCCCAGACCCAAGGAAGAGGCGCATGCCCCCGAGCGGGGACAAGTCCCTGTCCCCGTCGCATTTTCGAGGGACGTACCCCTCGCGGGTGATCATCCCGTTCCAGCACCTCCTCCCCTCCCCAACGCTGCCACGCGGTGTCCGAAGACTCCGCCCCGCCCCGGGCAGGAATCAACTAAAAAATTCATGTTTGAGAAACAAAGCCAGCGGGGCTTCGGGACCGCGGAAAACTAGGGGTGGGGGCTGGGGTTGGGGTGGGCGAGGGGACGATGAGGGGCGAGAGAATTTTATCAGAGAGGCTGGCTCTTTTCTGCTCACCTTTCTGCAGGAGACCTCTCCCTGCAATTTGGCGCTCGCCCGCGCCCGCAGCCCCCAATCTCTGCCAACCTGGAGGACCCAGAGGGCATTTCCTCGAATCAAATCGCTAGCTTGGGGACAGATCGCCACATCCCAGGAATGGCAAGAGGCTAAGGGAGCCCGCGTAGCCCTGAGAAAGAAAGCGGGCGTCGGAGCCCCTTGTCCGGCGGCTTGAACACACAGCCCGTCTTCCAACTGCGCGGATCCGATCGTTTACCCACCTCTGCACCTCTTCTCCTGGGGCACTCTGAGGTCCTGGCGGCCGAACGAGGGTCTTAGGGTGAGTGGACGCGGGTCGGGTCTCTGGTTCCCGCCTTGGGCATCCGGACTAGCACTTGCCGAGGCGTTGAGCGCTCGTGTAGTAGGCGTGTGTTGTACCTTTTTAGCCCCCTCGCCTCCGTGCTCTTCTGCGGGTCTGAGCTCCGCCTCCTCCACTCATCCCAACACCTCGGACCGGACCCTGCGCGTCCCGCCCTCGACTCCGCCCTAGGGTGCCCCCGCCTGCCTTCAACCCTAGGCAGACAGTGGGC